TTATTTTAATTTACATTTGGAACTCAACGCTACTTTTATTCGTTATGTTGAGTTTGAGGTCTGGCGCCCTATGAGACGGTAAACACATGCAGCCATTTTCGAAATTCTAACTAAAAGTAGAAACTCGTTTTTTAATCGACGTCTTCCGTGGCGTTGCCGTCCTGACTGCTTAAAGTCCCAAAAGTCTGCAAGAGAAGCGCCATCGCAGTTAACTCTCAGTTTCTTTCATTACCTGAGATTCTCCTTGTGTTATCTTCAGGGATTCAAACTCCTTCTTGAAGCTGAAACGTTGAAGCGTTAATTAATCAGTGAATTCATGTGAAAACTGCAATCTCTAGATTTCCAAATGTTAATTTTTTTAGCAACTGTATGAATACACCGTGAGGATGGTTTTGTCAATTCAGAGGACGATTGAGCTACAAAATATCTTCGAGTACTAGACAAGTAATAATTAGAGTATCTAGCGAGAACACAGCCATGAAGATGGATGTTAATCAGTAAGATTGACAACATAAAAGAAATGGACGGCGAGGTGAAGACAAATCGTTATCAAGACTAGAGTGGCAAATATAGTCGCTCTTACTTGACGATGATTTGACACAATCTTGACACAGCCATGGAGTTACTAGAAAACAACATTCTATAGATGATCCCAGAGGAAGGAATAAGGACAAATGGCAAAGAAAACTGTTGATGGGAAGTTGAAACCTGAAACATGAAACAAGGTAAAAAGTACAATCAGTAATCGTTTGATCCCAGAGGAAGGAATAAGGACAAATGGCAAAGAAAACTGTTGATGGGAAGTTGAAACCTGAAACCTGAAACATGAAACAAGGTAAAAAGTACAATCAGTAGTCGAAGAGTTGAATTTAAGACTTTACATCTTGCTGCCGCGGCGCAAAGAGCGGGACTCGAACTGGAGCAGTACAAACCCTTATCCATCACGGCGTAAACCACTTCCCCCCCTCCCCCCCCCCGCACTCCTTTTGGGTGGGTAGAAGCACTGTTGAATTAGCGTTTTTTCCCAGAAACACGACGACACCGGACAAAGAGTCGACTACCTCGACTGTCTTCTCATTACAAAAGTTGAGCAATGAACATACATTGATCACAAGCTTAGACAGACCAAACTGACAACTTACCAGTTCAAAGAAGTTTAACACCCAATGCTGTAACAGCGCATGGTCTCTTTCGACCTTTAAAAGAAGCAAATAAAATAAGAGGCAAAGCAGAGAGTCAAATGTTTCAAGAGAAAACACAAGCCTTAAGTTCGGCATAAGACGTGATGGGTTTCCCTCACGCTTGTTCCGTTTGACAGCAATCTCATATCACCGTTGCATGGAGTCGTTTCTCCTACCTGTAAACCTACGACACAGACCCTATCCACAAACTGTATGAAATCATATATGGTCTTTAGAGGATCAAACGCCTCAACTTCGTCTTCAACAAACAACGAGACACTGAAGAGAAGAATAGAATATAGTCATGAGATGAGCGCCCAATGAACTGCTTATTTCTGCACAAAAGTCAGCTTGGTCAAATCAGAGAAAATGGACCGCCGGCTAGTTAGCCCAATGGAGAGTGCGCTGGACTGTTGTGCAAGAGGTAGAGGATTCGAGCCCCGGATGGACCAACACTCAAGGTCTTAAAATAATTGAGAAGAATTTGCTACCTTTCTATAACATCAAGAAATGGTTAGATATTCTAGTCTTCTCGGATAAGGACGAATAAATGGAGGTTCCGTCTCCTGTAGGGTTGGGGTAGGAGACGTTAATTTCCCACACACGAGATTACTGTGTGATGGATGTCCTCCCCTGGGGTGGGATGGGTGGGAAGATAGCAGGTCCACATCAGCAAATAGCTGCCACAATTCAACCTGCTCAAACAAATAAAGGGGATGAGAACTAGGTACAAGGATGCACAATCTGATCAAGCCACTCGGCCTGCTATCTCTTTCGCACCCAATCTTTGGGATATCACGCAACGCTCTTCTTTTTAAAGGGCTGCGTTGCGTGACATCTTCAAGAAGGGCTAGGAAAGTGACTAGTCTGATTCTTTCAAAGTTACTAGTACTCAGGCCGCTCCCGTACCTAGCCAGACCACGTGGTCTTTGAGATCGCTCTTCTTGAAGTAATTCCTGCTGCCGTGGTAACTCAACCGCAAGGAAATTTCTCAGCAGTTCAGTAAAGCAGTACATAACTTGACACTAAAACAGAAACATACCACAAGTTTATTGTTTATTCTAAAAATAATCTGGTAAGACAAGGTCAAGACAGGAAAGAGGAACGGCAAACCTTTTTGAATTTCTTACCTTCACGTAAACTGACGATGAAAAGAAAAGTTTTCTAAGCGGTTCAAGAACCAGATCATTCAAACCTGAAAAATGTAATACCCTAGTTAGTACTTACTGACAGACACGTCTTTATTTCATAATTGCATAAACTAGAAGATTTTCTAAAGCACCCAACCGCGGCCGCAAAATACATCAACCGGTCAGCAGCGATAAAACGTAGGAACAGTCGCAATGAGCTCTTCACTCTGATTGGTTAAATGTTTTGAAAACGTTAACTAAGCAATCACATTACCCAGACTTTGGACTCACGTTGAAACGGCCATAAACTCAGATGAGTTATGAGTTGCAGAATCAATGGTCTGAAATCCAGTCCGTTCCATGTAAACAGGAATCGAACCAAGAAAGCTTCCACCGCTGGGACAGATTCCTAAGAAAAAATACGATATTGCCTTTGTAAAGTATACAGCGTGGATATAATACATCGCCTTTTCCTGTTGAAGGTCAAAATCATCACGAAAATAATTATTTTTCAGCTTTTTATACTGCTTACTTGGAGAAAGCCAGTTAAGTGGTTTAATTGCCGCAACAACATCCAGGTATACGGATCAGATTCTGATGCTGAACTGTTAAGAAACTCTTTGGAAAATACAAAGTTATTATATAAAATATTTAATTATTGATATTTTTCTCTAATCTTGTTTATCAGATGTAGTATTTAAAAAAAAAAACAATCAATAAGCACGCAGCTTTCGCTCGATTTACTGAGTATCTCAATGGCAGGGTTCGACATCTCAGCTAGCCCGAGGCTAGTAAAAATTTGGTCGGGCTAGTAAGGAACCATGTTTATATAGCCCGCTGGCTAGTAGAAAAATTGAAAGAAATTATATATAATTAGTTTACTTGAAGCTCACAGTTGATTAAAAAAATCAAGAACGTTTAAATCGTAATGATAATAACGATAAAGAAGGCATAAATCTTTCATCTTCTGCTCTGGCGTCTTTTTTTGTCTTGCGTGTCGATCGTAAACATCGCTAGATCCCAGACTCTGTGCTTAATGGTCAATGTCTTCCCCAGTCTTCTCCCTACCAATGTTGCGATGCTTTGCGCATCGCCTTGCACGATCGCCTCGCACTTGAAATTTACCTAGCTTTTTCCTTAAACATAGCACATTATGCTATAACAACGAAAGAAAAAACGCCATTCTTTATCATTTTGAAAGAGTTTGCCAATAAGTGTAGAGGAAGGTTTGCGTGTTTAGGGTTGAGGCAGACCTCAAGGAAAATTGATCTGGGCTACCAAGTTGTGTTTCGGGCTGGTAAATTTTAGAAATTACTAACCCGGTGGCTAGTAATGCAGGTAGCCAAGTGTCGAACCCTGCAATGGCATACAGCGCACGATTCTCAAGCTTTCCCAACTTCTCTTTCATTTGTAAACATTTCTAAAAAGTACTTTTAGACTACATCTGTCAGATAATCTTTCCTTACGAATCTTTTTTCAACTGTTCACGTTATCGCCTCTAATTTCGGCTAGGAAAATTATTTGATTCATACCCTTAACCGTTCGGGTTTTCCACCTACCGTGATTCACGAATTCCATGTTTACTCTACAGCTAGCGAGTCTGTCTCGAGCTTTCGGTGATATTAGTCTTTCTAGCGCTTTTTCAGACTTTGAACCGATTGCCAGCGCGTGAGTGAGGTGTGGGATCATTCCCATCATCCCTAACCCGTACTTAAAATTCTTCCAACTTTTCAATTTAATTTTTGCCACTTCAAAACAGAACAATATAACAGGGCTCCTGACGATAATCATCTTTTTTGTGCATAGTTCTTTCGTGTAGTACCTTGCATTCAATGCGACAAGTATCTTCTTTCTTATTACCTTCGTACAAAGTATGATTGAGCCAAAAGTTTAATCTTTGTAACACTACGAAGTCAGGATTACAGCTTAAAACGTGCTGCAGGAACGGTGAGTTGACCACTGAGGCCACCTGGCTCGGAAACTGCCATAAAACAAAATAACATCAGAGTTTGCATGAATTAAGTTCAGTTACAAATAATCTAGGAAAGATTTGTAAAAAAAGGCGCGCAAAGACGCAATTACTAAGCTGAATTTCAGTTTTTTGTCCTCTTTATCAATCATGTGAATACTACAATCCGTGCTCGGAGCATCGTCTTGTACTAACAAACTTGAAAGAAAAGTTTTTGTAAGCATATCGGGTATTATTAAAAACTGGATCATTGGATAATGCAATTCAAGACTTTTTCTTGGCTTAGCCGTTATGGTATATGAGCCATTATTATCCAACTACACCTAGACGAGTACAAATAACGCCATAGACGAGTACAAATATCACGCGGTATTTGTACTCGTCTATTGTAGTACCGGTTAAACAGGTTTTCTCGCATCGCGCAAGCGAAGAATTGGATTGTAGTTACAAAAAGAAAAATGGCGGACAATTTGTATCATATTTCCGATGACGAAGAGTCAGAATGGCTGAAAAATAAAGATCCAAGTTCAAAATTTCTTCATTTAATGAAGAAAATAGAAATAGCAACCCAACAACGGTCGCTTTGCATACTTCTGTCACGCACTCCCCGTAAATAAATATCCGCGAAATTCGCCCGCACTGAAATAACAGTTTGGCGTGTTGGATAATAAATAACTTATTAGACGTTTTGTTGTGTAGTATCGCTGATTATTATCCAACTACACCTAGACGAGT